TGTCCGTGTGTGTGTGTTTGTGTGTGTGTGTGTGTGTGTGTGTGTGTGTGTGTGTGGTGTCATGGTAATAAAGGAACATGTCACACAACAGTGTGGCTCATTGACATGTGTTCAGGGTCTTATAAAACAAATTATTATTTTAAAAGGGTTTAGTAACACAGTCATACATACAGCATCAGATGTCAGTACTGATATTGTCATATGTCAAATAAACAATCTCAGAGAAGCATTATCTTTCATGAAAAAGCAAGCACTAATTGGAAATACATTCCAGTGCACTGGAATGAGTACAAGGATGGGCTAATGAATTAGGACTTCCCCTTTTACTTGTTTTTTACAGTGGGGGTGGGTGTTCTCAGCTTGTTCTTGGCTGTCAGCACCTAATGAAGTCCCTCTGGGCACCCCCACCTAAGGGAGGATGGGGAAGGAGGCAGGGGTGTCCTGTAATTCCTCTCTAATTCCTGTTGCAGTAATTAAGAGTGCAGTGAGATACAGGGAGCTCTGGCACTCTCTGAGCCCAACCTTTAAAGTGCACAGTGTGGATTAGGATAGATTGGGGGGGGGGTCGTGATTATGATGATTAGTGGAAGTGTCCAATGACCTCTAGTATTCATTCACCTCACTGCCTGTGATGTAAAATAGAGAGTCAGACAGCAGGCTTACACCACTGTATCATTACCTCTGCATTAGAGAACTTCAATAGAATGGACTCCCAGCTTAAACCACTTATTATCTTTTAGTAGCACTCTGTTATGGATCCCTTTTGGAATAACCTATTAACTGGACAACTGTTAATTGGCTGTAAGGTGACTAATATTCTATTATTATTCTATTATAATACAACTTGCATTATATTTTTGGTTTGGTCATTGTTTCCATCAGTTACCAGTTTATCCACATTATTTAAACTGTGTTTCTCAGACTTTTTACGCCACATAACACCTTAGAAAATAGTGGAACAGGAAGATACAGTGGTGTGACCAAAGATGAAAAAATCTGAATGGATATTGTGAGTTAAATGAATTAAATGAAGTGGAGAGCAAAATTCAAACAAATATTGTTTTAAAAATGTAATGTTCCTGATTTAGATCTGAAAGCCATTGAGAACGGAGCTTTAATGAAACACCTTTTTAATGTTTTTGCATTTTCTGAATATCTTTTTAAAGCAGTGTTTCTCAAATCTTTTACAGCGTGTAACAAATAAATATCAGGCTCTCCCAAGTACCGTTATTATGACCGATGTTAAAATACAGCAGTGTAGGCCGACCCTATTCAACTACAGACAGTTCACACAGGAGGCAACTTTATTCTTAATAAGAAGATTATTTATCTTCAATTCAGTTTTATTTGTATAGCGCCAATTCATAACAGAAGCAGGTCTAGACCGAACTCCTTATAACATTATTTACAGAGACCCAACAATTCCACCATGAGCAAGCACTTGGCGACGGCGGCAAGGAAAAACTTCCTTTGAAGAGACTTTTAGAGACCCCAGCTATAGGTAGGTGGTCGTCTGCCTCGACCAGTGCTGTTAATAACCCCATTGCACAGGAAAAACTGTGCACTAAGGATGTGCATTTCACTAAGACTGTTGCGATATGCATCAAGATTTATTGCCAATACAATACAATACAATACATAATGGGAGTGGTGTAGTGCAATGTGATGCGATTTGATTCAATACAATATGATTCAAGGTGACACGATGTGATGCAAAAGATAGTGGCTATGCAACTCAATATGGTTCAGATAGTTTGATTTTATTTCTTTGGTTCTTCTTAAGCAGTTAGAAAAACAGTTTAGAGAGGAACCAATCTAAATAAGAAAGTATTAGTCACATTTACATTGGTCATATAACAAATAATTCAGATTTTACTGATGCAAAAATGTTTGAAACGATCCACCTGCAGTTAATTCCAAATTATATCCTAAGCACACTTTTTTAAACAGAGCAATTTCATCTTCAACTTTTTTGCCAGTGCACTGATGCAAATCAGTGACTCTTACCATCCCTAGTGTGCACACAACTACAGAAAGTATAGAAGGTCAACATTGAAACAGGAATATCCTCCAAATTATGGTCAACCTGCAAAATGTTGCTGAAACAGAGGCCAAATGACACCTGCTGCTCTGTGTGCGCCTAGGGGTCAATTACCTCATTATCTGTCCAAACTCATCAGGCTTTTTATCACAACATTACATTTCTTAGATATCTGAAATGAACTTTATGAGTACCATGTTATTATGACTGATAGGAATCGTGGCCAAAACTAGGAAAATAAACTAGAATTATACTTCCAAGATCCGGGATTGCACCAGGATGGAAATGCATTATTATGTTGTTGGTATCCACTCTGAAGCATTTGATTTAAGTTTAATGTTTTTTCTACCCCTTACTAGAAAAAAAAAGGAAAAAAAACATATTGAGTGTATCCAGGGCCTGATTTATCTTCTTCCTCTGTGCCATAGAGCTTAATTGTTGCAAAAACTACTTAAACCACATCAGTGAGCCACACTGGCAACTGTGGCTCACGAAATACAGGTGGTTGTTTACTAATTGCAGGGTTGATCCCTGGCTCCTCCTGTCCACATGTTGAAGTGTCCTTGACCAAAACATTGAACCCCAAGTTGTTCCCAATGGGACAGGCCAGTGGGTGACATGTTTCTTCATTACCATGAACAAACACAATCACATAGAAATATGATTAATTGTTAACATTAACTTAAGTACTATATATAATTCCAATTTAATAAAATACATTACATTTTAATTATTATCACATTAATCAATAATATCAGCAATATGCTTTAACAGTATAATGCATTATCTATTAAACCATTACTACTACTATTAATTTTCTAATATTTATTTCTTATACATTTATTCGCTGACATGAATTTCTAGTTAATATGCAGCATTGACTATAGATTTAACGATGTTAAAAGAACTCAAGAGGAATCTAATAAATGACTACTGTTATCACCATAATACACATATCACATAATAAGATATCACATATACGTCACTCAACTCTATCTTTCTTACTCCCAGGCTGTTGAACACCAACAGAATCGAGCCAACCTGGCTGGGTCCCAGACTCCCCAGGAATCCTTAACAAAAACCCATTCACTCGTGTTAATCAAACAATACCAACATTCTGGCTCAAAACTACTACAAACAATTTAACAGATAAAAGCTGGAAGAACGGTACGCATAGGAGTAACTGGTTTAATTTTCGGGCCAAAATAATGAAGTTATTTTTCTGTGTTGCTAATGTACTTGGAGAGATTTAGTCCAGGGTGGTCAGTAGGGGCCCAACAGCATATTTTTGCCTCTTAAATCCCTAACCCTGCTCCCTTACCAGTGACTGCCAATTTCACAACTGAATCTGTTGGCTTTAATTTTGCAAGCTTTATAGATGAGTAGTGGGTTTCCATTGCAGGTAAGAACTCAAAAGATATATTTTTAATTTTACAGTACATCTGTGATACATGTCCCCTCTCCCATTGTTTCAGGAAAAGTGCCATCAGTTGGCCTGCCGAGCGTCCTCTGCACGCTACCAGTACTTTCGTAGTGGACCCATGGCTGATTAACATGCCTCAGTACCAACATCCCGCAGAGCAGTCAACAGTCACACGACGCCAGGGTAGCTTTTCCTCAAGGACTCTGCTGTTGTTTGCGTTCGAGGCGGCAGCACGAAAACTGGCTTTCAAGGCTCTGCTCATTTTGACTGGAAAGGACACTCAGCTGTCACTGAGGCGCGCTATTTTCTATACAACGACGCAAACCTGCTTCGGCCAAGTGTCGTTTTCACCAGTCCTGTGCAGATTTCTCTTTCCATCTGTGTCTTTTTTAGCATTTTTGTGTATTTCACTGCACTTAAGCGGGAAGGATTTGGACCG